TATCAGATCCCTCTATTCCTGGGAAAGCGAATATTCCTTGATTGGAGCCCAGCTTAACTTTCTAGAAGTGGCTTTGTATTCCATTGTGTCCTGTGAATTTTGGCTTTAGATTCTGAGCAATATACTATGAGATATCTTTTATTCTCCATCATCCTTTGAATACATCTTAAGTAGCTCATGTGGCAGCTGACTAACTTTCTTAACCTGCTTTCTGCCAATGGTAAGTTAGGGATCCAAAGGTCTTTTTGCATGTTCGAATACTCTCAGTCCTTTTAAAGACATGCTAATAGCATTTTTATCTATACAATTTACTTAAAAATTATGTTTCCTATGCATTTGATTATAGTCTATGCCATGCTCCAAAACTCACAACCCATAATTATGTTTTTGGTTTTGGGGAGTTTGAGACAGAGCCTCACTTTTTTACCAACGCTGGAGTGCAGTGGCACAATCATGGCTTACTGCAGCTTTGACCTCCGAGGCTCAAGCAGTCTTCCCACCTCAGCCTCCCAGATAGCTGGGACCTCAAGCATGCACCACACTCAGCTAATTTTTTAATTTTTTTTGTAGAGACAGAGTCTCCCTGTATTGCCTGGGCTGGTCTCAAACTCCTGGGCTCAAGCGACCCTTCCACCTTGGCTTCCCAATGTGTTGGAATTACAGGCGCAAGCCACTGTGCCCAGCCTCTATAATTGTTTTTAAAATATGCCTCTCACTAGACATGGTGGTGTGTGCCTATGGTCCTAGCTGCTCTGGATGCTGAGGCAGGAGAATCATTTGAGTATAAGAGTTCTGGGCTGTAATGCACCATGCTATTTTGGGGTCCACACTAACTTCAGCATCAATATGGTAACCTCCCAGGAGCAGAGGACCACCAGGTTGCCTAAGGAGGGGTAAACCAACCTAGGTCAGAAACAGAGCAGGTCACAACTCTAGTGCTGATCAGTAATGGGACTGCACCTGTGAATAGCTACTGCATTCCAGTTTGGGCAACATAGTGAGATTCCATCTCTTAAACAAATAATAATAAAGCATGCCTCTATATACAGAGATTTTTACTTTGGGAAAAGGTTTCTGTAAGACCATGACTGTAAAATTCCAAAACCCTCTGCCCTGCTGATAAGATCTAATAGTTATTACTGTAGTTCTTTCAAAGACCTGTATAAAGGATCTTATATTTATACCCTTAATCCTATCTTTGGCTACCAGGCTTTATTTTAGTTGGAGAGACTGGAGATAGAAAGTTTTATTTTCCGACATAACAAGCCCTGGACCCTCTATATATCCTTTAAATTTTGTTTGGCAACTGGCCATTTTTAACTCTTGTCTCTTTCTTTCTGTATATCTTTTCATACACAATTAGGAGCTGATACCATCAACATTCTTACTGAAGAACTCCTTAGTGAAATAGAGAAGTTCATAAAATGCTTTTGAGAAGATGGAATAAACAGGCATTTCTGTATTACTGCAGAGAAGTACAAGTAAAAAACCTGGACATTATTTATAAAACAGAAAAAGTCTCTGAAAGGTAGAAAGGAGAAAGCAGACCACCTAGGGACTTCAGGACTCAAGGATCAAAATGGTGGTGATACCTAGGATATTCTTTTTGCTTCACATATTGCAGAATTGGAGCTGAAAAAGCCAGCAACTCAGAAATGCCACTAGGTATAGACCAAAAAAAGAAAGAGAAAGAAAATCCTCAAAAAGAGCTTGTAAGCTGGGCACGGTGGCCAATTTCTGTAATTCTAGCACTTTGGGAGGCCAAGGCAGGCAGATTGCTTGAGCTCAGGAGTTCAAGACCAGCCTGGGCAACATTGTGAAACCTCATCTCTACCAAAAAAATTTAAAAATTAGTTGAGCATGTTGGCACACATCTGTGGGCCCAGCTACTAGGGAAGCTGAGGTGGGCCTGGGGGACAGAGGTTGCAGTGAGCTGAGATCATGCCACTGCACTCCAGCCTTGGTGACAGAGTGAGACTCCATCTAAAAAAGGGACCAGGAAAGCCAGAAGCAGTGGCTCATGCCTGTAATCCCAGCACTTTGGGAGGTTGAGGTAGGTGGATTTACATTAGGGCTCAATGTTTATGTTAGGTTGGTGCCATTAAAATGGCAAAGACCACAATTACTTTTGCACCACCCTAATCTTTATATTCTATGGATTTTCACAAATGTGTATGCCATGGATTCACCACTACAGTATCATACTAAATAGTTCCACTACCCTAAATTTTCCGTGCTCCACCTAGTTGTTGTTCCCTTGGAGACCTCTCATCTTTTCACTGTCTCCATAGTTTTACTTTCTCTGGGATGTCATGCAGATAGAATTATATAGTAGCCAGCCCTTTCCGACTGGCTTCTTTCACTTAGCAATATGCATTTAAGTTTCCTTCATACCTTTTTGGCATGATAGCTAATTTTTTTTCTTGCTGACTAATATTCCATTGAATTTGTGAATCAGTGTATTCATTCACTTATTGGAGGTTATCTTGGTTGCTTCCAAGGTTTCAGCAATTATGAATAAAGCTGTCATAAACATTTGTGTGCAGGCTTTTGTTTTGAAATATGTTTTTAGGTTATTTGGGTAAATACCAAAAAGTGCATCTGCTGGATTGAATGGTAAAAGTATGTTTAGTTCTCTAAAAAACTGTCAAACTATCTTCCAAAATGGCTAGACCATTTTGCATTCTCGCCATCATTAAATGAAAGTTTCTGTTGTTCTACGTCCTCATCAATATTTGGTGTTGTGAATGTTTTGAATTTGGGCCATTCTAATAGGTGCGTGATAACTCATTGTTCTATTTTGTAAATCCCTGATGTATAAAGTTGAGTGCCCATTCATAAGCTTATTTCCATGTGAATATTTTCTTTGGTGAGGTGTCTTCTTGGATCTTTTGCCTATTTGTTAATTGGGCTGTTTTCTCATGCTTAGCTTTTAACAGCTCTTTAATAATTTCGGATATCAGGCCTTTATCAAATATATTTTTTTCTAATCTATAGCTTGTCGTCTCTGCATGTGTGTGTGTCTCTCTCTCTGTCTCTCTACCTCTCTCTCTCTCTCTCCCTCTCTCTCTCTCCATGACTAGGTTTCACTGTGTTGCGCAGGCTGGTCTGCAACTGGGACCAAGCAATCCTCCCACCTCAGCCTCCCAAAGTGCTGGGATTACAGGTGTGAGCCACTATGCTCAGCCTTTTTTATTCTCTTAACAGTGAATTTCACAAAGCAGAAGTTTTAATTTTAAGGAAGTCCTACTATCAGTGTTTTCTTTTATAGATTGTGCTTTAAGTATTGTACCCAAAAAGACATCACCAAACCCACAGTCACTTAGATTTTTCCCTGTTGTCTTCTGGAACTTTTATACTTTTTCACTTTACATTTAGATCTGTGATACATTTTGAGTTAGTTTTTATGAAAGATGTAAAATTTGTGTCTATATTTCTTTCTTATTTTGCATGTGGATGGACAGTTGTTTCAGCACCATTTATTGATTTTTTTTTTTTTTTTTGAGACAGTGTCTCTCTCTGTCACCCAGGCTGGAGTGCAGTGGTGCAGTCTCAGCTCACTGCAACCTCTGCTTCTAGGGTTCAAGCTCACTTCAACCTCTGCCTCTCGGGTTCCTGAGTAGCTGGGATTACAGGAATACATCACCATGCCCAGCTAATTTTTATATTTTTAGTAGAGATGGAGTTTCACCATGTAGGCCAGGCTGGTCTTGAATTCCTGGCTTCAAGTGATCTGCCTGCCTCAGCCTCCCAAAGTGCTGGGATGAGCCACTGTGGAACTGGGCCAATATTGATTCTTTATAGCAGTCCCAAATGACTTTATCAAGTCAAAGCCAGAATAAAAATGAATCAGGCATTATATGGTATATTAAATTTCTAGAGCTCAACTCAGCTCTCCTAATCTCTTAGCAGAAGCAACAGAGTGGCAGCTCTTTCTCATTGCAGTGGGGAAATAATAAAGCAAGAGTAAAACTGCTGTTGCAAAATGAAGCACATCACCACATTTCCATCTAATGCATTATACTTCATGAGTCTCCCAGGAGCAGAGAAACACAACAAAGTCTTTAAAAGTGAATCCAGATGTCGGCTATCACCATAACAGTGCTTTAATTATCAAAAAACAAAGAAATAACTCCTTAGGTACATTCTAAGCAGGTGTTTATTCACAGAAAACAGAATAGCTGAAGAAACAGCTGTGGCATTATATCTGCTTCAAGACTAGGGAAGAAAATTACAACTTTAATGACAGAGAGACTATCCAGGGAGAGCATAGAAAGATCACAATTATTAGAATTTTGCAAACATTAACCTATATGACATAATGACTGATTAACATTAATTATTCCATTTTACAGATGGGAAACCTAAGTACCTTGTATTACAGTCATGCCCAATTCAAAATCTGTCAGTCTTTGACAAGTTCACTACATGATGAATTTATTTTACAAGATCCTTTATGCATATCATATTGCATGGGTTTGTTTTTAAAATATATATATATGTTTTAACACAAATTTTTATTTTAGGAAAATTAGAAAATAAAAATTAGCAAACCATCTCTAATAACTGCTAACGTTTTAGATGAAGGGATTTTTACAACTGGATCTATGGTTAGGCTTCACAAGATCTGTGGACCTCTGAACTAAGTAAAAAATGGCAGTATGTTTTGTCCTGGGGTGAGAGTCTATATACTTTCATCAGGTTCTTAAGGGTCTTTCATTAAAAATTAATAACTCTATTCTCTACACTTTATATATGTGACTATAAGGCCAAAGATTCATTACAGCTTATTAGTCACAGCTTGAGAAGGAAGGCGGCCTTTGTCTAAATGTTAAATGGGCCCAAATAAATAGTAATCTCTAAAATTTGGCTTAACTTTTGTACAGCAATGTTGCAAAATTACCAAATATTAGGAAAAGATTTCCTTTCTTCTTTAAGATGTGTACTTTTTGTTTTTGTTTCTGTGCATGTGTTTGTATGTGCAATCTGACAATTACCAGATGGACAAGAAGAATAAACAGATGCTTTTGCAGCTCACATTGGTTGGGAAGATCTGGCACAAGTGAAGTACCTATAAGGAGCAGCAGAGTCAATGTGGTGATCCCGTGGATGAACAACTGAAACCTGATATACTTGACAGCAGAAAATAAAAAGCAAATTGAAAAGGAGAGAGTGTGGAGATAAACAGGGAAATGAAAGAACTGATGAAGTCATTGGGATGGACTTAAAAAGCTGGGAGTAAGATCTTTGTTTATGATTGAACTTAAGAGAGAATTCAGGGACCATCTACCTTTGATGTCAATGAGAAAGTAAAGAGGAAACACATTAAGAGATACCCTTTGGTGAAAAACACATAGACAGAAGTATCCGTTGATACATCACATTATTTATTCAACAGACTCTTAGTGAGAACTTACTGTGTATGAAGGACTATGGACTGAAAGATATATATGAAAGAACTTTTGGTCCAAGGAATTTACAGGATAATTGAAGAAATACAAATACAAGTCACTTCTGTGAAGCAGCAGAGACACAGATGAGGAATTGTAATATTTGTGAAATCAAAGTGGTAAAAGTAGTCAAAAAAGTCCTTACAGAATGGTATTCAAAATGGGCCTTAAGATAGAAATCAGACTGATTGTTAGCCGGACAACAAAGATAGAAAGGACAAGACAGGAGAAGAGACCAAATACAAAGGCATGTGGGGGTAGGAAAGCATGGCATGGGTAGAAAATGCCAGGTAAATAATGAGTTTAGTATGTGGGGGCATGGCAAATAATGACTCTGGTTTCTGCAAAACTCCAGGGAAAAGAAAATGAGATCCTGAAATATGGCAGTAACAGAGTAGGAGGGAAAATAGGATTAACTAGAGAAATATTTAGAAACTAAGAATCTCAGGATTTAGTACTTCTTGGGGAAGCCATCATGAATGCTGACTCCAAAGCTCATTATCAACAAACTAAAATATTGATACCTTAAAGTTAGAATCAAGTCCTACCCTCCTTTTAGAAACTATAAGAAATAGTTCTGTCTTGTCTCACATCTCTACCTCTGTTAATCTCCATTTGGGCCAAGCTTCCTCAACATGTCTGTTCTCATATTACTCCAATTACAATGTCCAGGGCCTTCAAGTTGCAGAAGTCATGGAGTTGCATTCTATATGAATTGTGAATTAGGTACAAAGTGAATAATGCCCTACAGCTTCTGAAATCTTTCATCGTGACCTCCAAAATGGCCCCCAGCATGTCTAACTCTGCGATGAACAAAATACCTTATGACATCAACCTGTTTCCTGAGGTTCCTTGCATTAATGGAAATTGGCCTGAGCTCTGATGTCTTTGCTTCTCTTGCAGCCCTCCCATGTCAAAGCTGTTTTTCATTTCACCTGTTTTTTTTTTTTTTAGGTATTTTTACATTTATTTTCATGCCTTTAACACCTTATGAATTTATGTGACTCATTCAAGATTATATCTGCCTTCCTTTCAAACTAGCTATGAGATATTTGATTCTCCCTGGACAAACTGTTCATTCTACACAACTGGCAATCTCCACAGTTGATTCTTTAAAGTGGGCTGATTCCAACCTCAGAAAAGGGTATCAATGGAATAAGCTTTTTTATTTGTATTATACCTTACTTTCTGGGATATATGTGCAGAACATGCAGGTTTGTTAAGTAGATATACATGTGCCATGGTGTTTTGCTGCACCCATCAACCCATCATCTACATTAGGTATTTCTCCTGATGCTATCCCTCCCCTAGTCACCCACCCCCCGACAGGCCTTGGTGTGTGATATTCCCCTCCCTGTGTCCATGTGTTCTCATTGTTCAACTCCCACTTATGAGTGAGAACATGTGGTGTTTGGTGTTCTGTTCCTGTGTTGGCTTGCTGAGAATAATGGTTTCCAGCTTTATCCATGTCCCAGTAAAGGACATGAACTCATCCTTGTTTATGGCTGCATAGTATTCCATGGTGTATATGTGCCACATTTTCTATATCTGGTCTATCATTGTCGGGCATTTGGGTTGGTTCCATGTCTCAACTATTGTGAATAGTGCTGCAATAAACATGTCTGCATGTGTCTTTATAGTAGAATGACTTATAATCCTTTGAGTATATACCCAGTAATGGGATTGCTGGGTCAAATGATATTTCTCGTTCTAGATCCTTGAGGAATCACCACACTGTCTTCCATAATGGTTGAACTAATTTACACTCCCACCAACAATGTAAAAGTGTTCCTATTTCTCCACATCCTCTCCAGCATCTGTCTCCTGATTTTTTAATGATTGCCATTCTAACTGGCATGAGATGGTATCTCAATATGGTTTTGATTTGTATTTCTCTAATGACCAGTGATGATGATCTTTACAATTTGGTATGTTTTTGCAGTGGCTAGTACTTGTTTTTCTTTTCCAGGTTTAGTACTTTTTTCAGGAGCACTGAATCCCTCAGCATTTGCTTGTCAGTAAAGGATTTTATTTCTCCTTTGATTATGAAGGAGAGTTTGACAGGATATGAAATTCTGGGTTGAAAATTCTTTTCTTTAAGAATGTTGAATATTGGCCCCAATTATTTTGTGGCTTTTAGGGTTTCTGCAGAGATCCTCTGTTAGTCTGTTGGGCTTCCCTTTGTGGGTAACCTGACCTTTCTCCCTAGCTGCCCTTAACATTTTTTCCGTATTTTCAACCTTGGTGAATCTGATGATTATGTGTCTTGGGGCTGCTTTTCTTGAGAAGTATCTTTGTAATGTTCTCTGTATATCCTGAATTTCAGTGTTGGCCTGTCTTGCCGACTTGAGGAAGTTCTTCTGGTTAATATCTTTTAGAATGTTTTTCACCTTGGTTCCATTCGCCCTGTCACTTTCAGGTACACCAATCAAACATAGGTTTGTTCTTTTCACATAGTCCCATATTTCTTGGAGGCTTTGTTTGTTCCTTTCCTTTCTTTTTTCTCTAATCTTGTTTTCATGCTTTATTTCATTAAGTTGATCTTCAATCTCATATCTTTTCTTCTGCTTGATCAATTTGCCTGTTGATACTTGTGTATGTTTCATAAAGTTCTCATGCTGTGTTTTTCAGCTCCGTCAGGTCATTTATGTTCTTCTCTAAACTGGTTATTCTAGTTAGCAATTCCTCTAACCTTTTTTCAAGGTTTTCTTAGCTTCCTTGCGTTGGGCTAGAACATGCTTCTTTAGCTCGAAGGAGTTTGTTTCATGTTTTTTCTCTCCCCCTGAGTATCTCAGGGCTAAGAGTTGGAATAGATATTTTTGTGTCCCATTGTTGCTTTCAAACCTTTTTACGCTCATCTTTCTATAGATGATCTCTTTCCTCAAAATTCATTCCCCCTTCTTCCCACCTTATTGCTAATATTTAATGTCTTCTCTCCCCTTTCATCCACTGGAAACTTTAGCTTTTGGTTCATATTTCACATTTCACCTCCTTCTGCTTTTTTTTTTTTTTTTTTTTTTTTTTTTGAGACAAGATTCTTGCTCTGTTGCCCAGGTTGGAGTGCATTGGTGTGATCTTGGCTCATTGCAACTTCCACTTCCCAGGTTCAAGAGATTCTCCTGCCTCAGCCTCCCATGCAGCTGAGACTACAGATGTGTGCCATCATGCCTGGCTAATTTTTTGTATTTTTTGTAAAGACGAGGTTTCACCATGTTAGCCAGGATGTTCTCAATCTCCTGACCTTGTGATCTGCCTGCCTCAGCCTCCCAAAGTGCTGGGATTATAGGCGTGAATCATGCACCCGGCCTCCTTCTGCTTTTTCTGATTAAAATTTTATTCATGCAGATAACCCATTCTACACTTGCTTTCTCAGTTCCTTGATCTTACCTCTAACGCCTTGTCTTGCATTTCACTCTGGGCACTCTCCTATATCCATTTCCCAAATTTATGAGAACCAAAGTTTTACACTATCTCTGAAATCTTGGCTGAAATATTTGACTTTTTCACCAATATCTTTTTATCCTTTGTGCTTTTTTTTTCTGTAGAACTCCTACAGCCACAATTTGTTGATTTAATCCAGACTCTCAATACCTTGACCCACTGATGTTCATGATTAATCAATCCCTTCTTTCTTCTACCTTCCTCTTTGATTAGCTTACATTCTATAGGTGATTGTTATGATGATTCTTTTGATAATACCTAGCTTTACTTCTTTATTCATTCTGCTTGGAGAGGTGGAGAAACTTGTCTGATTGGAAAATTTGGGAAGAATATACTTGTATACTCAGCCCAATTCCTTTTTTTTAGCCTACTCTCTGCAGGTGGGTAATAAACCCATACATTTCTCTGTAAACCTCTGACCTTGTGCCAAGATGGAAAGAGACCTGCCCTGTTGCAGTGCTGCACTGTGGGTGGGTGAATACGCTCATTCTGGGGTTTGGTATTAGGAAACTCATTTGCCCGCACATATAAAGTATAGTCATTAATATATCAGGTTAATAAATGTGATAATTTGGCTTCTTCTATCTTATTTGTCTCCCTTCTCAATTGTTCAGAATTTTAGCAGGGAAGATTTTGGTTTATTTGGTTTCCTCAAAGACCTCAAATTTATATCTCCCTTCTCTCTCTTCTGTATTGTTAAATATAAGCATGAGCAGTATGGTATGCATTATTCTGCACTTTGTTCTTTTCACTCAATTATATATCATAGAATTATTTTCCTATTGTCACATACAAATTTAGTTATTTCTTTTAATAAGATACATAGTATTTCAGTATGTAGTAGTACCCCGAAAATGTAACACTTTTTGAGACAGTGTTGCTGTTGATGAACATTTTGGTTTTCTGTCATTTGATAATACAAATAGTACTACAACTGAAATTACTTGTATATGCATTTTCTATGTGTATGAGAGGAGAGGTTTTTCTTTGTGCACTGTAGGAGAGTTTTCACATTAAATTCATAATTTTAAACTTCAACTGAGACACTCAACATGACCTGGCAGTATTATTTTATTTACCAAGTAAGTGCAGTTTCCCACTTTGAGTCAGTTATTGTATACCTTCCTTCACACTCGCCTGAGGACCCTAATGACAATATTTTATATTTAATTTTAGGGAATTCATCAGACAGGAGTACTCTCATCTTCCCACTATCAAAATTTGTAAACCTAACTATGTATGCCATCTTTTCTTTCCTTCTGTAACAATGAAGGATATGTTTCTACTTCCACCGTTTGTCTTCTGGATCCTACTTCTCCTCTCCTCAAGGCCTTCATCTTTTTCAGTTCTACCTTCCCTGCCTGTATCACCACTCTTTCCTATCCACATTTTAAGAGAATATTTTGTAAAGCCTTCCACTATCTGTTATCCTCTAGCCACCACCATTTCTCTGAATCCTTTCACAGTTAAACTTGTGGAAAATTAGCTTTATTTCTCACTTCTTATCGATTCTTCAACTCAGACCTGACTGGTTACTATACTCATCACTCCACTGGCACTATTCTTATTAGAGTCACCAGTGATGTGCATGCTGTCAGATGTAAAAGGTATGTCTCTGTCTTCATTTAGCCCAGCTTCTTAGCATCTTATAAAGTACTTAAAGACCTTTTCCTTGAACACTCTTCTTGGTTGTCTTTAGAGAAATCATGAAAACTGTTGTCTCTTCATTTCTCAACTACTTCACTAGCTGTTCCTTCTCAGTCTGTTTTCTTTGTTTATCTTTTCTCTAAATATTCAAGTTAATTACAGTTCAGTTCTAGGGTCATTCATATATTTTTAAAATACATTTTCTTTCTGAGTAATATCATTAATTACCATTAATTGCTAGTGCATTTTTTTTTTTTTTTTGAGACAGGATCTATGTTGCCCAGGCTGGAGTGCAGTGGCACAACCACAGTTCACTGCAGCCTCTACTTCCCGGGTCTCAGGTAATTATCCTGCCTTAGCCTCCCAAGTAGCTGGGACCACAAGCATGCACTACCACACCCTGCTACTTTTTGTAGAGATGGGGTTTTCTCATGTTGCCCAGGCTAGTCTCAAACTCCTAGATACAAGCCATCTGCCCACCTCAGCTGCCCAAAGTGCTGAGGTTATAGGTGTAAGCCACTGTGCCTAGCTTTATTAACAGTGCTTTTAGTCCCTGTCTATAGACTGATGAATCCAAAATTTACATCTCCAGCTCAGAATATTTTTTGAGAGAGAGAGTCTCACCCTGTTTTCCAAGCTGGAATGCAGTGGCATGATCATAGCTAACTGCAGTGTGAAACACCTGGGCTTAAGCAATCCTCCCATCTTAGCCTCCTCAGTAGCAAGGACTACAGGTACATGCCCAACTAATTTTTGTATTTTATTTTTTAATAAAGACAAGGTGTTGCTATGTATGTTGCCCAGGCTGGTCTTGAACTCCTGGCCTCAAGCAATACTCCTATCTCAGCCCAAAGCACTGGGATTACAGGTGTGAGTCACCATGCCCAGCCCAGAACTTTTATTTTCACATATTCTATTAGGTAGAGTTGTATCATACAAGCATTTAATTTAAATGCCGATGTGGAACGTTCTTCCTAATGTAAGATTTAAATTTTAACTGATATATCTACTTGGGTGTCTCACAGACACTCAGTATGTCCAAAATAGATACCTTTGTTTTCGCTTAAACCTGTCCCTCCTGCCTTCAGACTTCCTTGTCTCAGTCAACCAATCCAGCATCCTCCCAAATTCTGATTACTTAACCCATAAATCTTAGTGTGATATGTACTTAAAATAAAATCCACACTTCTTACCATGACCTAAACATTATATGACCTATGTGTTATCCATATTACTATGACCTAAACATTATATGACCTATGTATTATCCATATTTCCAATGATAACTCTTTCCATTTTCCCTTTTGCCCATGGCGTTTCATCCATACTGGTTGTTGATTGCCTAGAACCCACCTCTGCAGCTTTAGGGCTTTTGTCTTTCTCTGCCTGATTCATTCTTCTGCTGTTTTCTTGGCTAGGTCCTTATTTTTTCAGGTATCAATTTGCACCTGTCTAAAGAAGTCTTTTCTAACTTTTCTATTTAAGGTAGGTTATCCTCTTCCCACACTATATTCTTATCTCAGCCTTCTGTGGATTTAACTTGAATCTTTCTATCTAAAACTCAAAGAAGGCATGTATTAATTAGGGAAGAATGCACATGGGCATAGGTAAATTTAGGGAACAGATGGTATTCGTCTGTTCTCACACTGCTAATAAAGACATACACAAGACTGGGTAATTTATAAAGGAAAGAAGTTTAATTGGCTCACCATTCCACATGGCTGGGGAGGACTCATAATCATGGCTGAAGGTGAATGAAGAGCAAAGTCACATCTTACATGGCAGCAAGAGAGCCTGTGTAGGGGAACTCCCCTTTATAAAACCATCATATCTCATGCAAACTACCACAAGAATTATCACAAGAAAAACACAGGAAAGACCCACTTCTGTGATTCAGCTACCTCCCACGGGATCTCTCCCACAGCATGTGGGAATTATGGGCGCCACAATTCAAGATGAGATTTGGGAAGGGATACAGCCAAACCATATTAGATAGACAAGATACTAAGTTTCCTGTGAAGAAGGAAATGGCTATCAGTTGAGAGTAGGGGCCTTGAGAATGGTAGAAGTTTGTATTAGCTACTTGGGGTGAGAGAGAGGATTTTCACCAAATAATTGGCAGAGTATTAAGAAAACTGGCAGATTATTAAGGCTCCAGCTAAGACTAGTGTGAATCTTTTCCACAAGCTCAGGTGTGCAAAAAATATCATGTTATTTTTTAAAGGCAATTTAAAATCAATTCTAAACCTCAAATTAATGAGGGTGGATGGTAATTCATTCTGTCATTACTGGGACTCTCAGAGTCGTCCAAAATCCACAGGTATTCTGGAGCCCTGTTTTGAAATCCAGATACAAAGTATCAGCTCATACTGCTTGCTACTGAAATAACCATTGCTACCAATCCTTGACCAGGTTTACATCCAATAACTCTGCTGCCTGCTTAGAGAATAGAAATATGTTACCAGTTAGTAGTTCCTGTGCCTCTAGTCCAGCTTCCCTACTTATCCTCTGATGTCTTACCACATATCTGGTGCTAACATTCTGGGATCTGACAACTACTGACCTTTCCCAATAAAAGATGTAGTGTAATGGTTATAATTGTGCCTGAAAAAGTAGATAAAAATAAAAATTTAAATAGCGTTCTAAGTCAGATTGGAGATAGTGGTGAAGCATAAAATTAAATTAACTCTAATAAGTCACTAAAAGATGAGCTGCAATCTGGTGGGAAGTGCACAATCCTATTTGCCAAATCAGGTAATTAAGTTTTGAAAACATTTACTGTAAAACTTTAGAAAATGTGAAATTTGAAATAATGTTAGCAACACATTTCCTGGGAAATTAAATTCTAGAGGATCAGCTTGAGTATACTCTCAGCAGTTGACATAGCAAGCAGAGCTCAGCTGCGGTGGATTAAGGATGGCTGCAAATTCTTTGACATTCCTCCTATGGAGAAATGAGCTCTAATTCCTTAATCCTTTAATCTAGACTTGTTTAGTGACATGCTTCATCAATGGAATACACTGAAATAACATTCTGGAATTTCTAAGACTGTCGTAAAAAGCTGAGGGGTTTCTTTTGGGCTTCCTGAAATTCTCCCTTTTGGATCTCTGATCAGCTATGTGAGGAGTTTAACTACTCTGCAGGAGAGTGGATGTGAAGAGGATCCTACCAAAGCCCAGCCTCCTTGTCATCCACATGAAGACACCGGACAAATGAGTTTACGCTGTTTTGGACCCTCCCCACCAAGCACAACCCAGTCACCAGCTGAATACCACCAAATTACCTTCTAGTTAAAGCCTTATGGAGCAGAAGAATCACCTATTCAATTTCTGCTTGAATTACTGACTCAAAATACATCAGGTATAAAATGATAGTTTATTGTTTGTTTGTTTGGACAGGGTTTCACCATGTTGGCCAGGATGGTCTCAATCTCCTGACCTCGTCAACTGCCTGCCTCAGCCTCCCAAAGTGCTGGGATTACAGGTGTGAGCCACCACACCTGGCAAAATGATGGGTTTTTTTTAAAGCCACTAAGTCTTGGGGGAGTTTATTATGAAGCAATAATTTACAAAATACACAGAACAAGCAGAAGTCCCAATAAGAACTCAATAGTTTAGGTTATTTCTTTGATAAAATGGTCTTGGAAGTAACATCTAATTTTGACTGAGGTATCATCTCTAACCAGTGGTTGATAAAGCAGTTTGAGATCTCTAGCCTGCCCATGATCATATATATATATATGTGTGTGTGTGTGTATATGTGTGTGTGTTTATTTATATACACACAAACATGTATGTAAACATATACATATATGTATGTGTATGCCTCATAGATAAGTCAATTTACAATGATGAAGTAAATCAATTCTTAATGATTAGGTTTAGTGATACATTTTGTAATTACTGCTACTATTTTTGTCGGTTCTTTTTCTTTGTTGCTGCAGGTTCTTGCTTTGTCACCCAGGCTGGAGTGCAGTGGTGCAATCATGGCTCCTTGCAGCCTTGACCTCTCAGGGTCAAAAGATCCTCCTGCCTCAGCCTCCCAAGAAGCTGGGGTTATAGATGTTATAAGTAGAATTCTGATGCTGCAAAAGAAATAGCACTAGAAGATAAGTCCTCTCAGCAAGACCGTTTACTTCTATAGAAGGGTCCGGCATATGGGTGGAGCAATGGCAGCCACACACTTGGACAAGGGGGGATGGGATACTTATGCCTGATGGGTGTCATCCCTACTGCTGTGTTGCCCCTATTGGCTAGGGTTAAGCTGCACAAGCTAGATTAATCCCGATTGGCTATTTTAAAAAGAGCAGGGGTTTGAGCTAGAGTGTCAGGGTGGGTGTTTTGGGGAGAAGGACAGTTATAGGCATGTCAGAGCCGGTAGCCAGGGGTGAACAGGTGATCAGATGAGTCAGGATCGGGGGTATGGGGAGAGGGAACAGATGTGAACTATGTTTAGAACTGGTGGAGAAGGTCGTTTACTGGAATTACAAGGAAGTTAAACTTTAAAATAGAGAAAGAATAAGAGAGCTGAACATACTGACATACTGATTCTTTGAAGAGAAACTTGGGATTCACTATAACATAAGCATGTACCATTACACTCAATTTTTTGTAGAAACAGAGTCTCACTATGTTGCCCAGGCCAGTCTCAAACTTCTAACCTCGAGTGATCTTCCCACCTTGGCCTCCCAAACTGCTGATAGTACAGGCTTGAGCAAACACCCATGGCCTGTTATTTTAAGTATTTAAAAAGTTAAAGATTTGATTTATTAACTTGTGGTTTAAATTAAGGAACTTCAAGACAATTTGATGTTATACTTAAGATTTTAATTTGAACTATGTAAGATAATTAAATGTTTAAATAGTGCTTGAATGTTTAAGATAGCCCTGATTTAACACATGAATGAATGGCATTCATTAGACTAATCATAGTTATAAATATTAGATTTTACTCATTGAATTATAAGTGTGCCTTGTTAGTTGTTTGAAGTGGCTCAGATAAACATATATCTTAAATTTCTCAATATAGTTTAAAATAGTTAAGATAATTTTTTTGTAAGTGGGGGCTTAACTAAGGAATTTTAATATTGAACTTACGAATTAATTGAACATTAATCAAGAATAAATGAAAGGATTTTTATCCTCCAGCGGGTTGGTAATGATGAAAAAGTTGGGGAAGATGAAAACCATGTTACTTGAGGGAATGTAAAGCAGTAGAATTGTTTGGAACACTATTTGGCATTCCTTACAACCCAGTGATTCTACTCCTAGATATTTACCCTAAAAAGATTCTTACATGTAGGTGTATTCAAGATGGTGCTGTAGGAGCAGCTCAGGATTGCAACTCCCAGTGAAAGCACAGAGGACGAGTGGACTCCGCATTTCCAGATGGATCTTTATTGCCCACAAACCAGGAGATTTCCAGGTGGAGGAGCCCCATGGGTCACCAGCATGACTGTTTTGGCTGGCATGGCTGTTTCTGCCAGCGTGGCTGTTTTGGCCAGCACCGAAGCGCAGTGGCTCTCCGTACAAAATACACTGGTCTCATTGCCTTGTTAAACTGGCAATTGGAGATCCAGGAAGGCAGATTAGCCCATTCATCTGATTAAATGGGACTGAAACATAAAGCCAGGCCAGGAGATTCCTGGGCAGCAACATTGTTTCAGCCAGCACAGTGGGTCACTGCACGGGAAATCACACAGATCCCAGCGCCCTTTTAGCAGGCGACTGGAACACCTAGGAGAGAGTCAACCTTTCAACTTAAAAAAAAAAGGGCTCTGAGGCAGGGAGCCAGGTGATCAGGCTCGGCGGGTCCCACACCCACGAAAACAAACAAACAAACAAAAACAGCAATTGGAAATGCTCAGGGTTGAGCTAAATCTGGGATGGTCCAGCTCTGTGGGGAAGGGTCATCCGCCATTACAAGGTACTCCACCCCTACGGAGGTAGTCTGCCATTGCTGACGCAGCCTGCCATTGCCAAGGCAACCCGCCATAACAGAGAGAGTCCACCATTACAGAGGTGGGCCAACATTGCCGAGGCAGTTCTAACCACACCCATATAAACAGGACTTCAGGGAAATACACATGGTAGCAGGGCAGAGCCAGCAGCAGGGCGGACCCCACAGCAGCTTAGCAAAGCCTTTGCAGGCAGTAACCAGGCTGCCTCCTTGCTGGGCAGGACAGCCCTGAAAAAAAAAAAAAGGCAGCAATGCAACGGATACTCATAAATAAAGCCCTAACTCCCTGGGACAGAGCACCTGGGAAAAGAGGCGGTCTATGAGTTCTGCTGCAGCAGACTTAAACGTACATGCCTAGCAGCTCTGAATGAACAACGAAGCTCACAGCTCAGCACTTGAGCTCCTATAAAGAACAGACTGTCTCCTCAAGCAGCTCCCTGACCCCCATATATCCAAAGAGTCACCTCACAAAGGACTGATCAGATTGACATTTGGCGGGCATGATTCTGGGACAAAGATAGCAGAAGAAGAAACTGGTAGCAACCCTTACTGTTCTGCAGCTGCTGCAGGTGACCCCCAGGCAAGCAGGGCCTGGAGTGGACCTCAGCAGTCCTAAAGCAGAGGGGCCAGACTGTTAGAAGGAAAACTATGAGACAGAAATAACTTCATCATCAACAATCTGGATGTTCACTCAGTGACCCAATCTGAAAATCAGCAACTACACAGACGACAGGTGGATAAATCCACAAAGATGGGAAGAAACCAGCGCAAAAAGGAGGAAAACACCCGAAACCAGAACACCTCACCTCCTACAAGGGATCACAACTCCTCACCAGCAAGGGAACAAAGCTGGACGGAGAATGAGTGTGATGAAATGACAGAATCAGACTTCAGAAGGTGGGTAATGAGAAACTTCCATGAGCTTAAGGAATATGTTCTAACTAAATGCAAAGAAACTAAGAACCTTGAAAAAAGATTTGATGAAATGATAACAAGAATGAACAACTTAGTGAGGAATATCAGTGAATTGATGGAGCTGAAAAACGCAACATGAGAACTTCACGAAGCATGCACAAGTTTCAACAGCCGAATTGACCAAGCAGAAGAAAGGATATCAGAGGTCGAAAATCAACTCAATGAAATAAAACGAGAAGGCAAGATTAGAGAAAAAAGCACAAAAAGGAATGAACAAATTCTCCAAGAAATGTGGGACTATGTGAAGAGACCTAATCTACGTTTGATAGGTGTACCTGAATGTGATGAAGAAAATGAATCCAAGCTGAAAAATACTCTTCAGGATATTATCCAGGAAAACTTCTCCAACCTAGCAAGGCAGGCCAATATTCAAGTTCAGGAAATACAGAGAACACCACAAAGATATTCCTCAAGAAGAGCAACCCTAAGGCACATAATCGTTGGATTCACCAGGGTTGAAATGAAGGAGAAAATGCTAAGGGCAGCCAGAGAGAAAGGTCGGGTCCCACAAAGGGAAGCACATTAGACTCACAGCAGATCTCTCAGCAGAAACCCTACAAGCCAGAAGAGAGTGGGGGCCAATATTCAACATCCTTAAAGAGAAGAACTTTTAACCTAGGATCTCATATCCAGCCAAACTAAGTTTCATAAGCGAAGGAGAAATAAAATCTTTTGCGAACAAGCAAGAACTCAGAGATTTCATCACCATCAGACCTGCCTTACAAGAGCTCCTGAAAGAAGCACTAAACATAGAAAGGAACAACCAGTACCAGCCACTCCAAAAAGGTAACAATTGGTAAAGAGCATTGAGACAATGAAGAAACTGCATCAACTGACAGGCAAATAACTAGCTAGTGTCAAAATGGCACAATCAAATTCACACATAACAATATTAACCCTAAATATAAATGGGCTAAATGCCCCAATCAAAAGACACAGACTGGCAAATTGGATAAAAAGCCAAAACTCATCAATGTGCTGTATCCAGGAAACCCATCTCACATACAAGGATACACATAGGCTCGAAATAAAGGGATGGAGGAAGATTTACCAAGCAAATGGAGAGCAAAAAAAAAAAGGAGGAGTTGCAATTCTAGTCTCTGATAAAATAGACTTTAAACCAACAAAGATCAAAAGAGACAAAGAGGAACATTACATAATGGTAAAAGGCTCAATGCAACAAGAAGAGCGAATGATCCTAAATATATATGCACCCAATACAGGAGCACCCAGATACTTAAAGCAAGTTCTTAATGACTTATGAAGAGACTTAGACTCCCACACAATAATAGTGGGAGATGTTAGCACTCCACTGTCAATATTAGACAGATCGAAGAGACAGAAAATTAACACGGATATCAAGGACTTGAACTCAGACCTGGTCCAAGCAAACCTAGTAGACATTTACAGAACTCTACACCCCAAAT